TTGATTTTTTATTTTGGTGGATCCCACTCAATGTGAGTAATATGTACACCCTTATATACACTATTACGTACTTGTAGCATTACTCATATATTTATCTAGAACTCTATTCAGCCTCAAAAAATTTCTCCCCATTTTCTCGCGCCAAAAACGGAGAAACTTCAATTTAATATGGCAGTTAGAGTAGGAACTCTTGATGGTTCCTTCATTGCTGTTCTTCCAAACCATCTGAACCCTTTGGTCCCCCCTTCTCATGAACTTCTTTATGTCCCCTCTCCAGCATTTCTTTATAACTGTAACTCATACTATGGTCCGACTTTCCCGTTCGGCCCAAATGTGTAATCTCGCTTTCCGAGCAGTCCGATACAGGTGACGAGTTTGCGGAAAGATAAGAACTGTACATTGGAGAATCCGAGGGGTCGTCCACTATCTTTATTCTGTTGACCGATTTCCAATTGACCTCGTCAGAGTTAGCCATTTCATTGGACGGCTCGACATGGTACGACTTCCTCAACTCTACAATGTTGCTACTTGTCTCGTCAACAACCGGCTTTGTCTCCTTTTCCCTCGTGACAAGGCAGTAGTGGAGGAATGGGAAGTGGTGCAGTATTATCAAGGCAATTTTTGCCAGAACACCATCAATTTGTTCGGGTAAGGCTTCTGAGCGGCAAACCAGGGTGTCGATTTTGTCGAACAAGCATGCCGACCGTGGGAATATCGCCTCAACTTTGGTTTCGAAACTGAGGATACGGTCGTCTAGGTAGGATAGGATTGTCAGAAACGGGCACAGCAAGGTGTGTATAAAGGGAAGGAACTGATTCATGAACGAGGCTGCCCTACTCGCCGTTGATCCTAAAGGCCCGTCCAGATCTTGTACTTTAGTGCACGTTTTTTCAGCAACGGCGAAAAGTGAGGCTCCACAAGTGTGCAGTGGACGCCGCCTACCTGATCTTTGCTCGCCTGCTTCCTGAGAAAGTCGAAAGCACACTCTCGTTATGTCTTTGTACGTAAGCGTACCAATATATACCGTCTACGTGAAAATGGGATACGAATCGATAAACACAGACACACACGGACACGCACATTACAATTACTATATATTATACAATGATATTAAAGACACAAAAAATGAAAACCCGGACTAGAAACCAAATCATAGTGTTTTAATGGAAGTATTGACGAAGAACAAATTCGTATATACCAAATTAAAAAGGGTAATCCCTGATTTCAAAATCTTAATAGGGAGCCTCCAGCAGATGAAGCTGACAAGAAAACTCATCTCTCACAATTTTGTCCTCTGTATATTTTGTGCCAAGGTAACAATTGCTAAGCATTTGGAGAGAAACATAGGAATAACAAAGGTAAATGGTGACATTAATTGAGACGCTGGCGTTAGTTGAGGAGAATATATGGCTGCCAGTGATCTTAGCGTGTCTGAGTAAATGGACCATGTTGCTTTTATTTTGTTGTTATTTAAAAAAAAAAAAAAAAAGGGTCAAATCTGCATGTCCAATGCTCATATAAATTGGAAAATGGCCTTCTTAGTTTTAGGTATCTTTTTCTATGAATTAGGTATGTATCTTTGAAATTATTTTCTATATGCAAGTTATTCCTCAATTAAATTGTCATTTTTTTTTTACCAAGATTTATTGTTTTGTTAAAATTGTAGTTAAGTAAATAAATAGTTGAAAATATTTAGATTCTTTGTAAGTATTTATTATGTTGTTTTTGGTGTATCATTCTTCTTTAAAGAACTTTTATATATTTGAATTAGTAAATGTGTACGATTTTACCATTAAAATTATATTAAAAATAAGGACATTTTTCAAAACTACAAGGCAATATCCTTCAAAACTTTGTTGTTTGGGTTTATGTTGGGAGATAGGGAAGAAAGCAGTTTGAGAAATAAGTGGAAGAAAGCAAATTCGTGATGAATAATAGTGCGAGAATATTGTGGTTGATTTTTAGGATGTGGAATGTTTGTTCGCGTATTTGTATTTAGTTAATTAAATATTAGTTATATGTTAAAAATATAAGATATATAGTGTGTTACTAATTTTTCATAAAATAACGGTGGATATTGGGTTGATTTTTAGAGACATGGAAGAAAATTGTTTGGGAAATGTGGGGGGGGAAAAAAAATCGTGAGCGTAATAATGCGAGAATATTGTTGTTGATTTTCATGAGATGTGAAATGTTTTGTTTGTCTGTATTTAATTTAAGTACTACTTATATGTGGAAGAAAACACATTGGTAAGGAATAATGGTATAAGAATAGTGTAGTTGATTTTTACAAGATGTGAAATTTTTCTTAGGTAATTTTATTTAATTAATTAAATATTAATTATTAATTAATAATATAAGTTGGATGAGTATCAGTGTTGTACTAATTTGTCATTAAAAATATGTTAAAGCAAAGATTTCTTAGGTATATATTAGTTATTAATTAAAAATATAAGATATAATGGGTATTAGTGTATTGCTAATTACAATTAAATTAAAAATATGTCAAACTAAGGGTTTTTTTTAGGTCATTTATTGTTTTACAAAGTCACTCGTCTAGATTAATATAGAAAACGACGCTAAAATTTCATTACATTCAATCATTGATATGAAAAAGAATACATTCTTATTACAATTACATCTATACTAATTATTATTGTTAATTGACATGTTAAAATAATCATAGCCCATATTTGAGTGAAGAGTCGAAAATATTTGACAGTAAGATTGAAGAGATTCCAGAATTCTCCATTCTTGCAATCCAAAGGGTGCCTGCAGCAGCAGGGACTTTTATATCATAAAGAATTAAAGTTATATTTGGTAGGTAAATATGTTAGTAGTTTATTTGGTTAGCTTATAAGCTTCGTTTGGTAGGACGAGATTTTTTAAAAAGCTCAAACTTATTTGATAAGTTTTTTTGGGTAACTTTTCAACTCGTTGAATTTTTTATTTCAGCTAGCTTATCAACTAATTTTATCAAACACTTTTATCATATAAGCTTATGAGCTAACTAACTTAAAAGCTAACTTTTTAACTATAAATCATAAGCTACACGGCCACCATGTGGTAGGCCCAGGGCAGCCTAGGCTACGGCTCATGGCCCAACTGAAAAGAGGGGCACCATGTGGCAGGCCCACTATACTATATATATAGGATATAAGATATATTGTATATATAGTTATGTATTTAGTGCCGCCTGCCGTGCATGGGATGCTGCTGATCAACTCTTCTGATATATTCTCCTGCAAAATCACTCATTTACCTCAATTTTATGTATATGATGCAAACTAATTCAGTCATTTTTTATAAGAGCTTTTTCTTTTCCTTTTATGGATGGATGACTAAGAATGTACGACCAACCTCTAAATCAAGCGCATCGGTTATGTGCCGTGGAATGGGATTGGGACTGAATTCATCCGGAACAAAATTGTTTACAACCCTTCTGATTATAGCCGGACCAAACATCGGGCAAACCTTCATTTTAAACCCAAAAAAAAAAACTAGTAAAAAGAACTAAAAGAGAGGCTG